ATGTGGTTTCTCCAAATCCCTCCAAACATCTAATCATTCACACAGCTTCCGCTCAGAAGGTGGCTATCCTGGGGACTATTTTCTCAGCTTCATCTGAATGGCACACAGTTGGCCACTGAGGCCCACTGAAGGTCACACTGCATGTGTCCACACTGAGCTGTTTATTCCTGGCTCCAGTAGAAGGTGACACACGGGAGTGGGGATGTTGTTGACCCTTACATAGCTTGAGACAGTGTATCCCTTCCCACTCCCCCCTCCCCTGGTAGGCCATAGGGTCAAACACCATTGAAATTCTAGTCCCAAACCTCAGGCAGGCACTGAACATATGTTTCATCCTGAAAGGAACAATGGAGCCTCTGAGCTTAATTAAGATCCCACAAAAAGCTCTTGACTGGGCAGGCCTCATTCTCTGCCATCAGTTGCTTTCTCACTTACCACCCCCCACCCTTCTGTTTCTGCCTTGTCCTTCAAGGGAGGACGGATGAAAGGCTGGTTTGCCACCTCCTGGCCCTTCTGTCCTCACAACATGATCTCTGTGGCTGCACCATATAGCTCTCACTCTAATGGACTAGGAGACTTTACCCTTGAGCCACGATGAGTGAGCGCAGCCTGGGGACATGGATTCGGGTTGCCCAAAGATCATGTTGCAAGCTTTTACAGTTATAAAACAACAAGAACAAAAGTCATAAATAAAGGAATTTCCCAGATACATTGGTGGAAACATCAGGGGTTCTTGTATCACGAGGCAATCTCTGTTATGGTTTTCAATGCAACCTAATGGCATTCTTAGCTTTTGGGTGGGTGGGAGCAAGTGGCTTGTTAATACATTCCTAAAGGTTTTACCTGATATCCACAAGGATGTTAGGTCAGATATAGAGATGGGCAATGAGTGTCTATTCGGGGGGGGGGGGGGGGGGGGGGCGGGGACTAAAGATGTGCCCAGAGACCTTGGCTCTGGATCTGTACTATTCCAACTCCCCACAGTCACAAAGTTCTACTGACCCAATCAAACCAGTAGTCTTTAACAGAGATGTGACCTTTTTCCTGGGAACTTGAGTTCACATCTCTGTCCATTCTTTTGAATTCTGGAGTAGGAAAGGGGGTCACCTTAGCTCCCGGGGCCAGGCAGGCCTAGCTACAGAAGCAAGCAGCCAATGAGAGCCTGCCGGACTTCCTGGCCCCAGTCACCATGGCTCTGGGACTCTGGTGAGGTCAGAGGGTGAGGGTCAGTCCAAGTCCCAATCTAACCTGAACTGCAGGGGTAAAGTGTGCCAGAAAAGGACTGCACTGACTGCAAGAAGCAGCCCCAGTTCTGGGGGTTGCGCCCTGGGGTCGAGTTTACTGCCTGTGAAGGCTCCCTGAGGGCTGGCCCAGCATAGCACTTAAGAGATGTTTATGTGGAATAAATTCACTAATTTGAACTTATTTTACACAGCTCTTGCCCTGTTTATAGCATGCTGGGAGCTACCAATCTTCACAGGAGGTCACATTATCCCTGGTTTACAGAAGGGCTAACATGACAGACAGAGAAAGCGGACCAAACAAGCTCAAACAGCAAGTAGGCAGAGAAGCCAGAAAATGCAAATCTAAGCTCCCTGGCCCTGGGAACTGTCCACCCTGTCCAAGTTGCTACTGAGGGAGAACAGAGCTGTCTGAGCATTTCCCACTAAACTGGCTCCTTCCATGGTCCTGCATCTCTCCTTTTCCCAAGCGGGGTAGCAGGTTACTCCAAAAAGGATGTCCATTGACTACTAAATAGGCCAAGACATGGGTTGGAGAGATAGTGGTTAAGAGCATTGACTGTTCTTCCAGAGGTCCTGAGTTCAATTCCAGCACCCACATGGTGGCTTACAACCATCTATAATGGGATCTGATGCTCTCTTTTGGCATGCAGTTGTACAGGAAGACAGAGTACTCATATGCATAAATAAATAAATCTTAAAAAAAAAGCAGGCCAAGACTTTGAACCTTGCCTGCCATACATAAGAACCCTGTGGCCCTGCCTGCTAGTCATATGTGAGTTTCTTGCCAGTATCACCCCAACTTCTTCTTGCTTATAGCTCACCACTACAATTTTTGTAATAATTTTTTCCGTTTAAAAACAAAACCACAAAAGCTTTGGTTGGAGTTGGAGAGCAGGCTCAGTGGTTAAGAGCACTTGTTGCTTTTTCAGAGGACCAGGGTTCAGTTCTCTGCACCCTCATTGAGCAATTTGCAAATGCCTGTAACTCCAGTTCTGCGGAATCTGATGCCCTCTTTATGTTACTTTAAAATATCTGTTGCATTTTGAATATAGCAAGTCCCACAGGCTCATGCTGTGAATGTTTGGTCCTGGCTGGAGCCATCTTGGGAAGTGATAGCCATTTGGAGAATGCTGGTCCCTTCATGCATTCCTTTGATGGCTATATAAGGAGATTATGTGGTAAGTCACCTGTTTACCCTTTTGCATCCTGTCTGCTTATGAGGGGAGCAGCTCCCCTCTCCCACACATGTCTGTTACCACAGTGTTCTTGCCAAATGAACACATGTGGAATAAAATCTTTCTAGAGACCTAGTTGTCACTTGCTAAACTACTTGCTAAATTAAAATAATTTTAGCTGGGCATGTTAGCACACACTTTTAATTTCAGGGAGGTAGAAACAGGCAGATCTCCGAGTTCTAAGCTAGCTTGGTCTATATAGGAAGTTCCAGGCCAACCAGGGCTACCTTGTTTAAAAGAAGAATGGGGGGGGGGGAGAAGGGGTGCTCTTATGTTTCTAGACTTCCACTTTATCATAAATCCTGATTTTTAGGTTTGTTCCGATGCTACTTACTCATTGCTGTTTTGTGAATCAAATGACTCAACCACAAAGTCTTAGTTACTCTGACTCCAAACTTGAAGATCTGCATCCCAGCAAGATGGGGGTAGATGTGCTTGCCCCAATTCTTCTATTAAATACAATAGACATCAAGTACAAAACAAAAACAAGACTTTGACAACTGGGATGGAGCAGGTAGACTGGGACCCCTGCAACCAGGAATGGCAACCCTTGGCTGAGGGACTCTCTGGTTTTTCTTTGTGCTCTGATCTCACATTAAGATCAGAAGATGCTAACGACCTTGAAGCAGCCACTTTTTTTGGACAGTAAAAGCCATCAGGAAGTCTGCTTCCCCTGCCAGAGGTGAGGAAAGGATGCCTTGCAAGACAGAACTCTTAGATGGTAGCTGCTTTGCTCAAGCCAAACACCATGGGAAAGAGCCCACGCCTGTGATGGCGAGGTGCTGGCTCGGCCTAGATTTCCACCCTGAGAGGCTGCAATACTCTAGGCATTTCTACCAGAATAGTGTCAGAGGGCTGGCTGCCAGGCAGTGAGTTCCCTCCTTCACGTGGGTTCCAGGGATCCAACTCAGGTCACCAGGCTGAGAAGCAAGTGACTTTACTGGCTTCGCCATCTCCGGGTTCTGTCTGTCTCTCTCCTTCCCTCCGCCCACACTCTCTTCCCTTTCTGGCATCTCCCCCGATTGTCTAGTCTTCCTCCTCCCCTCGCCCGGACTCACTATGAAGCCAAAGAGGAATCTGATTATCCGGCCCCAATCACTCCCTGAGGGAATTCTGCTGCAAATTGGTAGAGCCTGCCCTGTGATCCATGTGATTCTTCCTCAAGGGACTTGGAGCTCCCGAAGGGCAGGACTGGGTCCTATTCAAGGGACACTGAAGAGTCACCTGGGCCTTTTGAGCAGACTTTTCTACCTGTGGACTCAGCTTGTGCCTACTTCTCCATCCCGGGTTCTGGGCTTCTTTTCCCTTTTCTCATTCCCATCATATATTCTCCCATGCTCCTTGACTACTCCCCATCCCAATCCTTTTCAGCCCCTTATATCTTCCCCAGAGTCCTCCCCCTCCTCTTCCCTCCTCCTTCCCCCTTCCAAACTGCTGCTCCTCCTTCCTCCTCCCGGTTCCGCAGCTGCAGTTCCCCAGGCAGCCGGCAGGGGAGCCCCGTGCAGGGCCTCGCCCCCCCGGCGGGGGGCCTCGCGAGCCGTGCGCGCAGGTGGGTGTTCGCGCCGGGTCTGTGTCCGTGTCAGGGTCCAGGCCCCTCCCCACCGCTGCGGGGACTGGAGCCACGCCCGGTTAAGATACTGCTGCAGCGCGGGTGGTCCAGCATAGGGGATGACAAAGCACAGGATACCGCGCGGGACCGCGATGCTGCGGGTCCACGCCGCGCTCCTCCCCCCGGATCCAGCCGGTCTCAGTGTCCCAGCGCGTGGAGAGTCCAGATGTGCACCCAGTAGCTCCTCGGCTGACAGTGCTCGGCCCACCGTCACCCTTGGGGATTGCGGAGCTGGGGTTCCCCAGAGCCGCAGCTGCAGCTCGCACCCCCGTGTGGTGGGAGCATTGGGCCTTGTCCTTCAGCAAAGGGGCACTGGTGCTCCCTGGAGGCCAGAGGCAGTGGGGGGCGTGCCCTCTGCAGCGGAGGTCCGCCCTTCCCTGCTTGGTGGCCAGCTGGTTAGGTTCTGTCACCTGGGAGGAGACCTAAAGAGATCTGGATAGAGCGCTTGCTCTTTCGGCAGTCCCTGGGAACCGCACCCTAGCCCCTTTAATTTTTCTTTTAGCATACAAAGTATTTCCCTTCTTCCCTGTTTTTGTTGAAGCTAGCCTCAGACATCAGACTGCCCTTTAACCCCTGACCATGCAGCCTGTAGTTCTGCTGGTGGATTGATTACAGGCGTGCACCAGTGCCAGGTCCCTGGGACTCTCCTCCCTCCTTTTCTGCCTCCCTCCCTCCCTTCTCTTCCCCTCGCGTTATTTCACCTCTTTTCATTAACCAGACAGGCACTTGCTAAGGGTGGGTCACCATATGACCACTGAAAAACATCCCCTCTCAGTTATCTGAGGTCCGGGGAAAGAGTCCCCTAGACAGCTCAGTAAGGGCTATTGCTGAGGGCGACCTATGAGGTAACACCCGTCTGACTCTGCACTCTTTACAGGTACAGCCCAGCAGGAATTCACAGCTCCCAGGAGGATGGTGAGGATCTTGGCCAATGGGGAGATTGTTCAAGATGATGACCCCCGAGTGAGGACCACCACCCAACAGAGAAGTAACAGTCCTCGGCAGGTAGGCTCCAACTCCCAGAAGTGTCTCAAAAGCTGGCTTCTCACCTTCTATAGCAGTGTTTGTCAGCCTTCCTAATTAATGCTGCAACCCTCATGGTGTGGTGACCACCCCCAACCATAGATTTTTGTTGCTACTTTATAGCTGTCATTTCACTACTGTTCTGAATTGTAATGTCAATATCTTGTGGTTTTTTTGTTTTGTTTTGTTTTGATGGTCTTAGGAGACCCCTGAGAAAGTGTCTTTGATCCCAAAAGGGGCAGGACCCACAGGTTGGGAACTATTGTTCTCTAGTGTGGTATTCTCTCCACAGAGGGTCTAGCAGAGTAAGAAACAACTTATGTCTGGCTCCTGTCTCCTGGGGAGGAAGCCTTCCCAGGCCTCAAACCTATAGGCTCACTCTTTGGGTGGGAAGTGGAAGCCAGTGATTCCCAAGAAGTTTTGGATAGAGAAAAGCTGGATTATAGAGGAGACGAGTGATTGGCTCCAGAATATTTTGAAGAGAGGATGCCAACCTAAAGATGCCCACTGGGCATCTTTATTCCTTATTCCTTATTCCTCTCCTTTTAGTCCTGACCCCCTTGTCCCAGGCGTGGTGAGGGGAACACAGGCCATGATTCTTTATGAGATCTTGTGTCTTGGTTGTTCCTGGGAAGGAAGCTGTGGTGTAGGATGGTCATGGGGGAACGGGGGCCCCAGCCCACAGTCTCCTGGCTGGTGCTTCAATTCCAAGAAAGCTTCCTCTGGACTCATTTGTCTGTCTTCATCTTCCAGGGTTTTCTCAACAGAGGTCATGGTGGACCTCCAGGGGGCCCTGGACCTCGCCAGCAGCAGGCAGGTGCCAGGCTGGGTGCCGCCCAGTCTCCCTTCAATGACCTAAACCGGCAGCTGGTGAACATGGGCTTCCCCCAGTGGCATCTTGGGAACCACGTGATGGAGCCGGTGACCTCCATTCTCCTGCTTTTCCTGCTCATGATGCTTGGGGTTCGTGGCCTTCTGCTAGTGGGCCTGGTCTACCTGGTGTCCCACCTGAGCCAGCGGTGACCTCTGGGGGACTCAGGAGGGTGGGAGTGTTCATTAGGATTGGCTGGGCTTTGGTGTGAGATCAGGGACAGGGGAGGGAGCATGGGAGCTTAGAAGATGTGATCAGAGATGGGACCATGAGAGTGGATTTCCCCACTGTGTTAAACAGGAGGCAGAGGGACCAGCATCACTGAAAAATACAGAGTACTCTGGTTTTCTTGGAAGGCTTTTAGGAACATAGGGCCCCCACTAAGAAGCACAAGCCCAGGGTAAGACAGGCTTAATATGTTGTATTCACCCAGAACACGTCTCCCCCACCCAACCCCCCAGGAGCAGAATTGGAGTTCAGAGCAGCTAGGAATTGTCCAGATTTTTATAGCATTCTTTGTTCTAATGCTGTCTTTTTATTAGCTACTCTTATTTATGAGGAAGGGTGTTGACATTCTGGTTATTGTGCCATTTTTCTTTCTTTTTTGGGGTGTGTGTGTGGTTTTGAGACAGGGTCTTAACTATGTAGCCTTGACTGGCCTGGAATCACTATGTAGACCAGGTTGGCCTTGAACTCACAAAAGATCTTCCTGCCTCTGTCTCCCAAGTGCTGGGACTAAAGGCCTGTGATACCCTGCCCAGCTATTGTGATATTTTCAATAAATAAATTTGAGTCTCTTTTAAGAAGCCAGTGAATGATTCACAGCTGCATGGTCTGGAAAACTGAAGAGGGTAGTAGGAACAGTTGGTTGGGGGAGGAGGTGGCAGGGGCCTTTGACCTTGGTGATTGCCAAGGTTTTCTCAGTACAATGGGAAGGTGGGAGGTGGACCCCTTGCCTAGAGCTGGGGGAAGCTCTAGGTACTCCGACACACTGAACTCCAAGTCAGCTTTTGGGGAGTGGTCCTTTGGCCAGAATGACTGGGGAGGCACTAGGAGTTGAAGAATGGGATATATGCCTGGGGTCTCTCTTGCTCAGGTTCTCCTCAAGGGCTAATCAGTTTCCCCCAACCACCAGTGTCTTCCAAAAGCCCATAGTAAGCTATCCTTAGGAGGTTGAGGTAGGCATTTTTTCCCCGACAGGAGAGGCCTTGGGTTTGGCTTTTGAACTCTTTTGGTGGGGGAGAGGGTTGAAACAGGGTTTCTCTGTGTATCCCTGGATGTCCTGGCACTTGTTCTGTAGAGCAGGCTAGTCTTGAACTCAGAGATCTGCTTGCCTCTGCCTCCTGAGGGAAGCTCACCTTCTCAGGTCCCTGGAGTGACTATATGTGCCCAGGTGTTGCAGAGGACAGGGCAGAGATGGTTCCATTCTCTTGTCTTGGGCCTGCTCTCCTGCCCAGAACAACCTCCTTTTGGTCCCTATGTCTACTCCTCCTGGGGCTGGGAGCCTGTGTCAGGGCAGAGCTCTGTTACCAAAGGTTTTCCGAGTCTTCATCTCTGGGCATGAGGGGAGGGGACTGTGGAGCATGAGGGGAGGGGACTGAGAGGCATTCTTGGTAGAGGAGTGTAGCTGCCAGCTGCCTGGGATCTCAGCTGTTCACAATGGTATCTCCTGGCTTGGCAGGTGTGCTCGCTCAACTCCCCAGCCACAGCATCCAGGGTCCCCTAAGCCACCTTGTTCCTCTGGGACTTGAGTTCCCTTTCTTTTTTCTTTTTGCTTTTTTTCAAGATAGGGTTTCTCTCAGTGTATCTTTGGAGCCTTTGGAGCCTTGCTCTATAGACCAGGCTGGCCTTGAACTCACAGAGATCTGCCTGCCTCTGCCTCCTGAGTGCTGGAATTAATGTGTGCCACTACCGCCCTGCTAGGTCCACTTTCAAGTCTGTGGTAGGACTTGTTCCATACGTGAAATGCCTTTTGGGGTGTAGATTAGAGTCCTCATGTAACACATTGGAGCCTTACAGTTGGAAAGGGCCTTTGTGGGAATGTAGCCCTCCCTTTCTAGAATTCAGTTCCTTGCCTAGAGTCCACATCCTGGGAAGAGAATTCAGTGCCTCGTTGAAGACAAGTGAGTAGGGTTTCAGGTCCAAATGAGGGTCTAGAGGCAGTAGGTAACCCTCACTTTCGGGTGGGATGCCAGAGGAGCTGATGGTAGCCATAGATTGGCTACAGTGAGGACTCAGGGCTATTGGGCTGCAGGTGTCTTGGCTCTGTGTCCTTGGGCCCTGGGCTGGTAGACGCTGTTCTGCTTTGCTTCTCAGCCTTACGTCTGAAGGTGATATGACAACCTGACTCTGACCCAGGCACAGGCAACCCACACCTTGAAGGGTGGGTTGTGTGGTCCAGTGCCTATGTAGAGCCCAGGTTGGCCTGGAGTGTGTGATGCTTTTGCTTCAGCTTCCCAAGTAGCAGGGATTCTAGGCATGTGATGTCGTATAGGGCTCTCTTATTTGTCTGTCTGTCAATTTATCTATCTATCTATCTATCTATCTATCTATCTGTGTTTTTGGTGTTTCTGGTAATTGAACCCAGGGCCTTGTACTCTACTGCCAAGCTACACCCAAAGTCCACTGGTAACTTTTCATTTACTCTTCATAAGTTGCCCATGTTGGTTTTGAATTTGTTATCTGTTGCCCAGGCAGGCCTTGAACTTGTGAGCCACCTACCTCAACCTTTCAAGGATCTAGGTTTCCAAGCATACACCTGCCATTTCATCAAAGAAAGGGGGAAACCTTTCCCAGTTTCTTAGAATCTACACCAATATAAACAAACACAGCTATTTGAATTTTTAGTTTTTTTGTCCCACAGTAAGTTAAACACATTTCTCATCTTGGCCGTCTGTTCCAGGTACATTTTACAGTAAAGAACTTAATTCCATAGGATCTTGGTGAGTTGCGACCCTCTTTTGGTCTCCACAGTCATTTGTACCTGAGGGTACTATCCCCCATAGACTCCAAAAGGAGCCCTAACCCTGAGCTGGGTGTAGGTCATAGTGGAAATGCCTGCTTCAAGGCGTGTAACTCAGTGAAGAGTTTAAACTTAGTCCTGGCCTCTAATCTTTCCAAACGGAAACATCTCCCGTGTGCCAGCAAAACCTGAAGGGAACCATAGTCTGGGCGATTTGATCCTTCCGTTGTTACCACCTGAGAGACTGCAATCTCACCTTCACCAGTAGGGGGCCTCACCCGAGGACCGCCTGTTGCTCCCCGTGGACCTCCCTCCACCACTAACTAATGTGGCCGGAAGGGCTGGGCTAGATTCTCACAAAGGTCAGTTTCAGTTGTGAACGGGCCTGGTCCGTTCTTGCCAATGGCAGAGCTTAGTAGGTGGTTGTTACCCGGTTTGGCACAGTCACTGTCTGTGCCCGCTTCTACCGTCTTGTTCTGATGACCGTCTAGGTTGAGATGAAGGGAAGTCATGAAATATTACCCGGCCTTAGGCCGGTAGGTCTGAACCCATGATCGGTCCCTTTGGTCCCTTCGTTATCCACCTGGGAGAGCCACAGGCCTGGCCTGTAGACCTGTATTTTGAATGTTGTCTCATAGCGCCACCTGGTGGGAAGTCTGGGCAGGAGCATGGCCTCCTTCCGAGGAGATTCCTGGTGGCAAGCGCCCGCTGTTTTTATTCTAATCTGCGGCTTCACCCTGGTCTGAGTCTTGCATATCAGGAAGAGTCATAAGCCTGCCATTTCATCAAAGAAACGGGGAACCTTTCCCTTTTCACATGTGGGACGGAGGCTTAGGAGAGGAAAACAAGATAGATACCAACAAGCTGCCCTCAGTGTACTGAATCAGGGAGCCTGAGCTTGGGGTGCCTGGTGGACGCTGTTGGAGGATGAGTCATGGCCTCTTTCTGTAGCATTTCACAGCCTCGGTTATTTCTAGCCCACAGTTCTGCTGTCACGTGAGGTGACCCAGTGGGGAGATTCTGCCTTTCTAGGACTGTGTTCTCTGTCAGTGGTTGTGGCCAAATCTATTCCAGACCACCCAGAAATTGCCCACCCGCCCCTCTTACACCCTCCTAGCCTTGCTCAAAGGCCCAGTGCCCAGAGGTTTCCTTTAGTGAATATGATGTGTGTGATGTAGCTAGCATTTCCCACGTGGGGTCAGTGACTTAGCACTTGTTTTTTTCACAAGGTGAGTCAGGCATCTTTGGGCAGCCGTGTCCCAGTTGCCCTGTCTGAACAGAGGGCAATGGGTCTCCTTGAGCGGCAGCTGGACCCAGTGAGGAGTGTGTAAGTAGACTGGGATGTGGCATGGAGGTACAGTGGTTTGAATCACACCACTGTCTACGTGCACTCCAGTGAAAGCTGCCAATTGGGTCGGGGATATTTGGAATGAAATTTGCTTTTGAAATTCCAGTGGTAGTGGGGGAGGGGGGACAAAGAAAATTTCCCAGTCTGGTTACTACCTGTCAGTGTATGTCTGTTAATAAATTTGCCTAGGGCTGGAGAAATGTCCCAGGCAGGCAGGTAGGCAGGCAATTGCTTTATAAGCCCGAGAACCTGGGTTTGATCCCCAGGACCTTCTCTCTTCAACATACACACAAAGCCACACATGGTGGTGCATGTTTGTAAGCCTGGGCTGGGAGGCAGAAACAGACATCCCTGAAGCTCACTGGCTAGCCAGCTTAGCCTCCTTGGCAAGTTCCAGACTAGAGAGATAAACACAAACGTAGATGGCACGTGAGAAAGGATGAGGCTGTCCTCTGCACCATTACCATCCTGCTTTGCTCCGTGCAAATGTGTGAACACACACTTGCACACACACACACACACACACACACACACACACACACACACACACACACACACACACGCACCTGCATACTCACACAAAGACGTTTGCCTGCATAAAAGCCTCCTGCAGTGTGGGGGCTGGTGTTTTTCTTGCACTTTGGAGCTCAGCTGGTTCTGGGGAACCACCTTGTTCCGAGAAAGTGACTAAAATCTAGAAACTGTCATCAAGGGATGGGATAGCACACAGGTGCCAGCAGGAGTGCTGGGTACGGCTTTCACTTTGTTTCACGAACTGTCCTTGTTCCTTTAGCAAACTAAGATTCAAAGGTGCCAGAGAGCTTGCCTGAGCCACCTTAGCT